GTGGAAGGGTGCCTCTCTCAGCTCTGGCAGCTGGGATGTTCTATCGTCTTTATCCCCATCTTTAAGCTGTTAAGATTTTGTTTTCCTATTGAACAATGATAACATTAATGATTGCAAGTCCTGGGATAAAAATCGGCAAACAGCATTGAGGCTGTTGTAGTGTGTGTTTCTTTAGGGGAAATCTTTGTTTCATGTTTTATTTCATTTCTCTCCCCTTCTCCCCCACCTTCAGAACAGACTTAAATTTGGGCAGTTTCCATGGCAAGATAAAAGCAGTAGGTTCATTTCGTTCTTTTATTTAGTGGAGATGCAGAAAAGGGGAAGTAGTGATGTATATTATTACCTCCCTCTGAGAAAAAAAAAAAAAATTATGTTATAGTTTCTCACCTTGAGCATTGTTGGAGTTGTTAAGTAGACTCTCCTATCTCTTAATCTTTCCTCTACCTGGTTGATTGGTATGGGTAGCAGTAGGTCTGAGAGATTAACCAGCTGAGGTATTTCTTTATATAACAGACATGCTGATTGAAAGGATTTTATTTATTATCCAGAAACTTAATGTTGTGTCGTACAATGAAGGCATTCCACGTTTCTGTGGTTTGGACTCTGTGGGCAAGTTTAGAAAAATGGACAGCAGATCATATTTCTAAAATGTCATGAGCTTTTATTGAGAGGGAATTTGTAAAGTGAAAAGAATAGGAAGTCTTTCATATGAAAATTAAAAACAGACACACCAAACAATTTTGGGTTTAAGCACATGAAATGTTGTTAGTTTCAATGTAGTGTGATCAATTTCATTTCTTTTTTGAAAGACTAAAACCAACAACCCTTTTAGAGATGATTTTGTGAAGATTTACAGAGTCACTAGCATGGTGAGTCCTAGGTGTTAGGCCTTAAAACAGAGTTTAATTGTTTATTTTTAGAAATTCTCTATTTTCAATGGATGGATGGCATCTATTATTTAACGTGGCCTTCAGAAATGAACTTTGCACAGCAACATCCCATGTTCATGCTTTTGTTGAGTAATATCATGAGAAATTCAGTGTAGGACCAGAAAATGAGAAACAAATCTAGAAAATATGAGAGGGCTTCAAAAGTTCATGGAAAAATCCCATTATATTTTAATTCCATTTATCCATGAGCTTAAAAAAAAAAACAACTACAGCTTTTTCTTGTGAATTAAGTAAAGATTGACTGAAGAGATCAGTGTTCCAGAGAACAATTCACACACAGCGTGTTTCACCTCACTGAATACAGTCCTCACAATAAAACATCCTTCATCCCACTTCCTCCCTGGGATTCCTGTTTCAATTCCTCCTCCTTTCCTAACCCTCTCAGCTCTGTCCTTGAGTAAATGCTACCATTTTGATCTCCAGCAGTTGAGTTTTCTAAGGTAGTCATGCCTCAATAGTGTTTTTGTTCCTCTGCCAAGAACTTTGTCTGTTGTTTGTCTGAAAATTGAGCCAAAGAGTCAGTTCATTTCCAAACCTGAAGAGTAACTAGGGACCATAGTTTTGGGGTATCCAAAATTATGGTTCCTAGTTTGGCACTGGTTACTGAGCTGGACTGCAAAGTAAGGTCAGTGGTTCAAGTTCACCAGCCACTCTTGGAAACCCTATACAGGGTTGCTAAGGTCAGAATGGACTCGATGGCTTTTAACATCAGCAACAACATATCAGTGTGGTAACCTGGTTGTTTTTTAATGTTTTAGAGGTTTTCCTATGTTTTCTCTTACTCCATCTAGGACCTTCTAATGTGATCCCTTTCAGAGCAGATGGCACTGGTATCCAGGTACCCTGTACTACTTCTTGTCCCAGCGTGGTTTTCCATGAACTTTTTGAAGTTTCCTCGTATTGAAATGATAGTCATAGCACATCTTCAAGTATATAGGAATTTGCCTTCTTGCCTTTGTATTTAGAAATAAGATTTCTCTGTTTAATAACTAATTTGAATTCTTGAAAGTTCCCACCCACTTAGTTATTTCTAGATTACCATTCTACCCAAAGTCCTTACAGTATCATCTTGTCTAAATACTGTCGCCTGATTACAAAAGTGTCGCCATCTCCACCTTCCTTTCTCTGGGATGAGAGATGTGGTGCTAGCCCTTAAATAAAAAGGGAAAAGGTCTCCTGCATTGTAGATTTGTTTAATTTGAGTAGTATACCCTTGTTTTATATTGAAGCCCTTCATTCCCTTCATATACATTCATGTAGGAAATTTCAAACCAGGACTTAAATAGAAAGCTGGAGTTGTTAATATTGATTTTCATTGAGTGTTGTCAAGTTTTCATCTATGAACAACAGAAGGAAATGACCCCAAATGGCAGTTATGTATTGAATAGTGTAGCTTTGAATATTGTAGCAGTACAAGGCATTCTCTTTTTCCAGGAATATTCCCTAGGAATTTTAATTGCATAATTATAATTTCTATATTAGTTGCTGAGAAGTGAGTGGTTATTATCAATTTGCTTTGTTTGCAAAAGCAGAACAAAACATTTAAACACTTGTACTATCTTTCTTTGTTTTCAGAAAAAATGACAGCCAATATACAATGTTTTTGATTCCTCTTAGTAATAGTCAGTGTTACATCCGTGCAAGCATTTCTGGCAGCTTCCAGTAATCATCTAGACTGCACTGTTAAAAAGACATGTAGCAAGATGTGATACAAAGGCAGGGCAGTTAGAGCCCACCGTCTTCCTCCTTAGCATGGTTGAGCAGAAACAAGCCCATGTTCCCACCAGTTAAACAGTTGGCCAACAGGCTGAATTTTCTGAGGAGAGAGAATCTTCCCTAGGTTTAGTGTTTTAAGATATCTCTCCTTCTCGTCTTCTGTTACTGTGGAAAAAAAGATACTAAGCCAGTAAACTATAAAACTGAGGAGGATCTCTCTATGAAAATTTATTTCTTATCTCTTAGTTTTACAGCTAGGAAAACAGTAAAGTTAGGTGTCCCTCATACACAATGGCAGAACTGAATTGGCAATCTGGTTCCTTGACCAAAATGAAGGCAGAACATGGAAGCATCACATGGAAACCAGAATAAGAAATTGAGAAAATCGGGAAATACAAAAAATGGTGATACACAAACAGTGATGAGCTTTGTGGGGTTGTTTTGTTTTGTTTTTCTTGGAATCTAAGGATTGTTTTCAACATAAATGACAGCCATGGTTATAACATAGGGAGTCCCTGTATGGCACAAATTGTTAAACCTCTTAGCTACTAAAGAGAAAGTTGGAGGTTCGAGTCTAACCAGAAGTGCCTGGGGAAAACGACCTGGTGATCGATTACTATGGTTCACAGCCATTGGTAACCCTGTGGAGCACATGTGGTCAACACCATGAATCAGGTCTGAGTGGACAGCAACTGGCTCCTTACGACATATAGCTGCAGAAGAATGGGAGCAAAGACTTGAAAACAGGGATAAGAAGAAAAAAAAAAAAAAGATCTGTAAAATGGCAGTACTGTGTAGCTTAAAAAAAAATATCCCATAATTGTAAAAATTCAAGGATGTAAGAAAACTTTCAAGAAGCAGGGACAATATTTAAAATACCACTCCCTAAACCACTATCAGGAGTCCTTGTGTGGGCTAATGCGTCATACTGCAAAGTCATTTGAACTGCAAAGTTGGTGGTTCAAGCTTACCAGCTGCTCCTCGAAAACCTTGTACAGGGTCGCTGTGGGTCAGAACTGACTCGATGGCACTTCACAGCAACAACAAACCACTATCTTAAGCATTTTAGTTTAATATTCTTTGGATTTTATTTTTTTTCTGGGTATTATTTCTTATCATTATTATTATTTGAAATCACTCATCTTTAATTTTGTATAATGCTTTTGGGGCTTATCTTTAAATTAGGAATATTTATATACCAGGTAATAACAACCTTGTAAATATAACAATTGCTATGTGTTTGATATTCTTTCATGATTCTCTATTTTATTTTTCTATTTGTATCGATATCATTTGATATTTAAGCTACTATAATGTTTTCTAAACAAATGACATGAATATGTGTATAAATAATCATCTACATTTTGTACCTTTCTCACTGGATACATGTCTAGATTTAAAAAGAGTAGAAAGGGAATAAGTAACATTTAAAGAGTTGAATGTTAGGAACGTTTAAAGGAGAATGGAGTACAATGAAAAATCCTCTAATATGCAACTTTTTGTTGTTGTTGGTCAGTGCTTTAGAGTTGGTTCCAACACATAGCAACCCTGTGTAAGGTTTCTGAGGAGCTTCTGGTGAGTTTGAACCACCTACCTTGCAGTTCAAACTTACCTTGAGGTCAGGGCTTATCCTATGGTGCCGCTTCAGGTCTCCTTTATCCTTATATAATTTTATTCTATATTTATCTTCATTTCAGACTTTCTTTAAGTTACTGTGACTTGAGACTTCTTCACTTTACCTTGTTTGTTCAGATTGTGGAGTTGAGTTTTGAAGAAGGCAGCCTACAATATCTGGATTAGAGACAGTTTACCATTCTTCCTCACCCCTTCCTGCCAAACCTTCTAATTCAGTGCTGTATTTCTTGTGTCTTTAAAGTTTCCTAAAGTTTTTCTTCAATGTCACTAATTTTATTGGCTCCACATTGGCAATGCTGATTTCTACCAGTGTCCCATTAAACCAAAGAGTTAAAATTTTACTTACTTTGATTGATGAGCTCATTTTGTTCCTGCAGACAAATTGGATTTTTTTTTAATACCAATAATAAAAATTAATGTGTGATGTGGCCATTTGAATGTTCCTGGATCTTGGCCTTATACAGATTTTGGCAGTAAAAACAATAACAGAAAGTGACTTCCCTCCCCTTTAAACTGGTCTCAAGAGTAGAAGGTGTACTCCTAATGTTGTAATCCTCGTACATTTGTGTATAGACGTAGTATTCTGTGGGCAGTAGTGAGATCGAAGGCTGTGGGTCAAGTAACAGAACTGGGGTCATGGTCTGTGTTTCCATTTTCCATTGAATTGTGATGTGCATTTTCCTGTTTGTTTTATTTCAGCACCTCCGAGGTTTACGCGGACCCCCGTGGACCAGACAGGAGTCTCTGGTGGAGTAGCCTCTTTCATTTGCCAAGCTACAGGAGACCCGAGACCAAAAATTGTCTGGAACAAAAAAGGAAAGAAAGTCAGCAATCAGAGATTTGAGGTATTAGGTCCATTGTTCTGTTTCTCTGGGGAAGACTGTATCTAGCTGCTTGAGCTGTGTTTTGTGCGCTACTTGGTGGTGTTACTCAGTCACTGAGTAACAGTGGGCATTCTTTATGTTGTGTGACTAGAAAACTCAACACAAAATGGCTTTTCTCATAAAAGGGTATTTGGGGGTTCTGGTAGCTAGATTTTTTTCTCAGCTTGTACCAAGGTTCAAGTGTTGTTCGTAGAATCCATCCATGCCAGTTTTAACTTCAGGCTGCTCCTCCCGCAGGTTGCAAGATGAACCCCCCACATCTTCATATAATAAAGTTTACTTGTCTCTTATAAATGTTTCTGATCCATCAGCTCTTATTGAGTTATAGTCCCTTCGCTGAACTAATCTTTGTGGACAGATAGATGGTATGGGCTAATTAAATCAAATCCAAGCAAAATCTATTTGTTACTGGGAACGGGATCAACCCCATGTCATAGAGTGAGGGAATCTTGTATTCCCAAAGGGAGTTTACATTCGTATTATCAAAAGGAAGGGTCAAGGAAGCTGGGAAACAAATGAAATTGTACCCTAGTCCTTGCACCTGTGTTATGCAAGTAGCATGAACTTGCATGACAATTTTGCTTCAGTGTTTTAGTTTAGACCAATACATTGGAAGGAACATATCCATATAGGTTGCAGGTAAACCTACTGGAGAAATTTATTTTCTCTGTTCAGGAAGGTTCAGTGCATTCAAGATGATGAGGTATAATTTAGAGATTCTTTCTGGAATCTGTGTATAAGAAGCCTGGTGGTCTGGAAATAGTGTTATTCCAGAAAAGGAGAACAGGTTGTCACATACTTAAAGATGTCTTTGAAGAAGCCCATAGGAACAAGCTTGTCATTGAAGACATAGAGAGGATAGCATGGTTCTTAGGGTGTCAAGAACCCCCAAACTGTTCCCAATTGTAAAACTTACTTCTTCTTGCCTGAGTGACTAATTTACCCCTGGTCTCATTCACAATTTTGTAGAATAAAAGGCAATTTGTACTTAAAAGAGACACAGCTACTACAAAATTCAGGATGGTCTGACTTTACTCATTGTTACTAGTTCTTATAGAGCAATAGATGTCTCCAGTGAATGAAAAGCCAAATCAATGACACTGGTGGAAATGACATCTGGGCTGTAGATTACAAGTGGTGCATTAAAAATGATACTGGCTTGAAATTCAAATACAGTGATCTAAGTGTTTAATGAGAAATTATATTTTGAATTATCTTTGGGAAATATTTTCTACATTATGTAAAAAAAAAAAAAATTTCTACATTATGTAAAAGTTTTTCTACATTATCTACATTATGTAAAAAGAGTCCTGTAAAGGGCATCACAGTTTAGTGTTCAAGTTCAGCCCAAAGATCAGCATTTGTTAAAGGTGGCATTTAGATTTAGCTCATGGTTGGTGCACTTAACAAAAAGAAAATTTCGTTGTTTTTTTTTTTTTAAAGAAGAGCCTTGGCATCATTCTTACTAGTGATCATGGCTTCTTGTAGCAAAGATAAACTTGTAGCAGTGAACGTTTCAGAACAGGAGTTATATAAACACACCTGTTGTTAAGTGCTGTCAAGTCGAGTCCGACTCATAGTAACCCTATATGGGGTTTCCAAGAAGTAGCTGGTGAGTTTGAACAGCTGACCTTGTGGTTCAAACTGACCTTGTGGTTCAATGCCTATCCTATAGTGCCATACCAGTACTCTGTAAATGCAGCTAGGGAAAATTAATTATTTTACACAACTCACCTGCATCAAATAGTATCAAGTCTTGGCTAGAACTTCTCCATAGCTACAGTATACACTATGTTATCTTGTTGCTAAATGCTGTCCAGTCGTTTCTGACTCATATTGACCCTGTATAGGGTTTCCAATGAGCAGCTGGTGAGTTTGAACCACTGACCTTGTGGGTCGCAGACCAGTGCTCATCCTGTAGCACCACACTAACATATGTATTCACAAAAAAGTTGCCATGGAGTTGATTCGAACTCCTGGTGATTCCATGTGTGTCAAAGAACTATGCTCCAGAGGGTTACAAGTGTCAGAATTTATAAAGTAAATCTCCAGATCTCTCTTTTGAAGTACCTCTGAGTATACTCAGACCTCCAACCTTTTTGTTAACAACCAAGCTTCTTAATTATTTGTCTCACCCGGACATAATTACCAGACTTTTGTAGTATAATGAACAGTAGATATTAAATATTGTTGTTAAATGTTTCCATCGAATCGGTTGCAACTCATAGCAACCTTGTATAGGGTTTCTGAAGCTATCAATCTTTGCAAGAGGAAGAAAGCCTCTCCTTCCTCCCACAGAGCAGCTCATGGGCTCAAACTTCTGACCTTGTGGTTCCCAGTCCAGTGCTTATCCTACAGATAGTAAATAAAACTTTTCACATTGGAGATCTTCACACCAGCTTATAACGTAGGATCTGTTTTTGTTAGTTGTACAATGACAGCATTGAATCTAGAAAATGGCTCAGAATTGCAAGCATACGATGACATTTAACAGCACTTTAATCAACATTCAAATTAGTTTTTAAGCCGTCTAAACATTTTAATGCATTAAGCAGCAGGATACTTAGGAATATATATATATATATATATATATATATATTTTAATTACAGAATATTTGACAGAATCCAGTAACTATGAGAGTTTTGTCCCCTGAAATGCATGGTAGACTCATTGTAAAATATGTGCTTCCTAAGATTGGAGAGAGATTTTGGTGCATTGAGAAATAAGGCATTTTGACATATCTTTATCAATTTATAAGCTATATAGACCACACAAAGCTCTCAAAGAGTCCATATTTTGAAAGCACTCAATCTCTTTTTTCTACATGTTAACATGTACACACTCAAAGCACCCAATCTGGCCTTGAGCACCCTGTAATATACATGACATTTTTCATTCATTCACAGGTTAGGCACGTCTAAGAATTTCTGTAAGCAGTTGACACTACATAGCTAGTTCCAGAAAAGTCCGGTAAAGGGCATCACAATTTTGTATGCAAATTCAGCCCCATTATCAACATTTGTTAAAGGCGGCACTTGGGTTTAACTGCCAAATACCGTGAATGACCAAGGATGCTAAACTCTTTGGGAATACTGTCTAAAACGATGGCAAAAATCAGGTTTATTGGGAAGGGCATTAATTTTCTGCCTGGTGAAGCAAGCTACCATTGTACAGCAAGAATGCCCTCAAAATGCAGAAGATGCGAAGCTAGAACAAATACTGGAATGATTTATGGTAAAATTAGTGCACGTCTTCAGGCTGTTGAGTTGTGAAAGCCATTGCATTGACTACCTAAGTAGGAGATTTATGTAGTTGCTCTTCATGGCTCGTTCATCTATACTGTTCAGGATGAGGCATTTTAAACGTGAAGAGTTTTCCACGGTGGCCTGCATTAATTCTTCACCCTAAAGTCCAGTTATTGAATGATTTCCACACATGCACATCTGTGGGACAGAATATTGGGACTTTCTATCATTGTAGAAAATCTGCAAAATTAATAGGGCCCTAGATATACACACTAACATATTTTCTTGAGTAAATGTTAGGCAGCTGTATGTGTTATTTTTGTTAGGTGCCATCGAGTCAGTACCAACTCATAGCGACCCTATGCACAACAGAACGAAACACTGGCCAATCCTGGGTTTACCTTACAATCATTGCCACGCTTGACTCCATTGATGCTGCCACTCTGCCAATCCATCTCGCTGGGGACCTTCCTCATTTTCTCTGACCCTCCACCTTACCAAACATGGTATCCTTCTCCAGCGACTAGTCCTTCCTGACAATATGTCCGAAGTATGAGAGACGAAGTTTGGCCATCCTGGCCTCCAAGGAGCAGTTGTTGTTGTTGTTGTTGTTAAGTGCCGTCGAGTCGGTTCCGACAATCTTCAGTTTCATGTAGTTTTGTGTCTTCTCCAGAAATCTTCAGTGTTAGTTTCATGTCTTTAATAGAAAAATTCACTATCATAGGAAATTCATGAAATCAGGCCAAACATTTCGTTTAAACCTTAAAGCATAATTTAGTCTCCAAATTCTATTGAGTTCATCTCAAGCTCATGGTTGGCCCACTCCTGCATCAAGAGGTTTAGCTGAGGGGTGGACAATTGTAACAACATCTGTGACAGCTATTATTTCCTCTAATAGGTAATAGAGTTTGACGATGGATCGGGGTCAGTTCTGAGAATACAACCCTTACGGACCCCCCGGGATGAGGCCATCTATGAATGCGTGGCTTCGAATAATGTGGGAGAAATAAGTGTATCCACCAGACTCACCGTTTTACGTGGTAAGTGCTCAAGGGCAAGCAAGGCTGTTGCTCATGTGATGTGTTGTTGTATTGTCTACCATTGTCATGACACTTAAATGGATTGAAATGAAATGCTTATAGTAGTTCCACTTTGATATAGGAAGTGGGCACCTTTTCTCTCACTTTGGGTCTGGAGGGATCTACTAATCAGAGAGAGAAAAGGACACACTCAAAGGAATTCTGATTACATATGCAAGTTATCATTTTGACTTTTGGTTGAGAAAACAGGGGAGGCTATTGTTTTGCATGTTAGACTTAGTTTCAAATGGATTCGTTGTCCCAAGTTCAGCTGCTGTGTTTTAACAAAGTACTAACGTTACAAGAACCTTTGAAAAATTCAAGAAACAACCTCTAGCAAAAATGAACTCCTCTTGAGGACTTGATCAAAACCAACAAGAGCATTATGTTTCTCCTTTATGCCCTTTAGGTTTCCTGAGTGCATTTTTATTGATGCAAGTAAGGAAGTGAATTTCCTTCTATACCTCCATGTTTCCAACTATGTTGTTTTTCACTTTAATTGAAACATGAGCTGCCTTGTCTGATCTTCAGTAGAGTGTGTCCTCTTCCCCCACCTTCCTCTAGGAGGATTGTTGTTGTTGCTAAGTGCAGTCGAGTTGCTCCCGACCCATAGTGACCCTGTATAGGTTTTCCAAGGAGCGACTGGTGAGCTTGACATGCCAACCTTGCATTTTGAACAAACTTTGCAGTTCAGCGCTTTTACCCACAGCACCACAGAAAAAGCGGGTAGTGATGACTACTCAGTAGTCGCATGCCTCTAATTCAGCGTTGTGTCTGTAGAGATAAGGACAGTGCCTAGTTTGGCAAGCTTAGCCTAGCCTAGCCTATGATTCCAAGCTAACACTTCTATGCATCTTCTCTGTTTTGCTTTGCTTGACCATTGTTTGAAGAACGATGAAGAAAATTGGAAACATGGGATCAAAAGTGTAATAATCACAGCTGAACATACAGAGATTAGAAACAACACCCCCACCCCATTGAGCAATGTATTTAATTAGTGGGATAAAGCATTGAACCGCAAGGTCGGTTTAAACCACAGGATCAGCGGTTCAAACTTACCAGCCACTCCTCATAAACCCTGTAAGGGGTTGCTATGGGTCAGAACTGACTTGATGGCACTTAATAACAAGAGCAGGCAGGGCAGAGATAGATGTAAAAGAAGTTGGAAGACAACAGGGGGCTACCATAAGGATAAGCATTCTACTACTGTTCTTAGGGTGCAGTAGCTCAGAACCTGAAGTTATTATAAAAGCTGATCAGATGGGCCTACTAGTTAGAAAGAGATGGAAGGAACCCCAGACTATGGCCTTTGGCCACCTCTCAGGTGTGGAGCAGACTCCTCCTCATGGCTCATCCATGGGTGGAGATGTACACAGGGGTGGAGGAGGAGGCAGAGACAATGGTAAGGTCTGCTCACTGAGGAAAAGTCAACCCTTCAAGACCAAAAGAGCAGTGTTTACCTAAGGACAAAATTGAGAAGGACTAATGGGGAAGGAGAGCCACAAGGAGGGAGGAAGCTCAGAAACTTGTTAGGTGGAGGGATTGTAGTCCTTGAGATGAAGCAAAGTTTATGCTCAGTGTCATGTATAACTGATGATCTTCTCTGTAAACTTCCTCTCTGACTGCAATGAAAAGTTTCAAAATAAAAGCTGGTCTGAAACCACGGGTCTCATAAAAGGTGGAACAGAAAACCATGAAACCACTTAACACATAGAGATTCTGCCACAACCCAGAGTTTAGGACCCCAGAGAAGGGCCTCTGTTCCCAAGGTTGACTCCTAGGCACAACTTTAAGTCAGTTCCAACCCATGATGGATAAAGTAAACCCAGGCAATGAGGGAAGAAATCATAGTTTATGAGCTAGCAAGAATAGAACCATATTGTTGTTGTTAAGTGCAGCAGAGTCAGTTAGAACTCATGGTGACCCTGTATAGGGCTTTTGAGGAGCAGCTGGTGAGTTTGGACCAATGACTTTGTGGTTAGCACTCTAGTACTTGTCCTATAATACGGCACCAGGGCTCCAATAGAACCTTTGTTGTTGTTCTTAAGTGCTGTCAAGTTGGCTTCTACTCAGAGTGACTGGATAGGGTTTCCAAGGAGCATTTGGTGGGTTTGAACTGCAGACCTTATGGTTCACAGTCCCAAAAGTCCAAAAGGACCATCTTGTTGTTAAGTTACATTTAGTCAGTTCTGACTCATACTGACCCTGTAAATGATTTTCTAAGGAGTGACTGATGGATTTGAACTGCTGACCTTGTAGTACAAACTGACCTTGCAGTCTGCTATACCTTGTAGTATATACTACCTTGTAGGAGTCCTGGTGTGGCGCTGTGGGCTAATGCGTCAGACTGCAAAGTCCTTTGAACTGCAATGTACGTCGGTGGTTCAAGCTCACCAGTTGCTCCTTGGAAATCCTACACAGGGTCGCTATGGGTCAGAACTGACTCGACAGCAGTTAACAATAACAACAGTATGTGTCACACCTGGACCACAGGAGGAATTTTATTGCTTCAGCTACTTGTAAAGGTAGAGGAAGGGATAAAGTCTGTTAAAGAGGAGAAGACATTAGGGAAACAGAGGAATTAAGAGGTAGAAGTCAGATTTTAGAAAAGAATATTTAACATTAGGGAAAAAAAAACAAAACAGAACAAGAAAAGAAGCAGGCAGATAGAATTTAGAAGTCATATTTTAGAAGGGGAAAGGATCTTAGAGATGGAGTTTATAGAGCTATATATAATATACACTACAGAAAGGATACATATCAGCCAAATTTATATGATGAATATGATATTTGATAAAAATAGACTAAAAAATACCTAATAATCCACTTGTTCACATAATCTTAAGTAAAAAGTCCAAATATCAGCATTGTGTTACAAGCATTCAGATATACCTAAAGCAAAATTTATTGGTATCCTTTTTATACATTTAATTTCCATTTATTCACCTGATTTACAATTACTGTTATTATATAAAAAGTGTAGTAAAAAGGAACTATGAAAACTATTTCCCAGAATTTTTTTTTTCCTTCTCAATATCTAGAATCACTTAAAAGGCAATCATTACAGATATTTGATTTAACCTTACTTACCATGCTTTTGAAGATGTCATTAACAAAATGTTCAAGCAAATTATTACTTTACTTTGATATTCACCTGGATTTAAGTTTTACTTCTTACCCTCATTCTCATCTCTCTTTTTCCAAGTAGCCAATAAGTGCAAAAAATTCACCAACACATTTTCATACAAATCGTAGCTTTCTCTGTGAATTATTGGTCACATGTAACTACATTTGTATGAACATTTACTATTCTAGTAATTAACCCTTACTATCCTGGAGTCCTGATGTGGCACTGCAGGTTAATGTGCTGGACTGCAAGGTCAGTTTGAACTGCAAGGTCAGTGGTTCAAGCTCACCATCCATTCCTTGGAAACCCTATGCAGTGTCGCTATGAGGTGTAACTGACTTGACAGCACTTAATAACAACAATCCTAGAGGGTTTCGTTTTACTCCTCCCTAAAAGTTCTGGTGTGGCGCTGTGGGTTAATGCGCCAGACTGCAAAGCCATTTGAACTACAAGGTCAGTGGTTCAAGCTCACCAGTCACTCCTTGGAAACCCTATAGAGGGTTGCTAAGGGTAGGAACCAACTCCATGGCACTTAACAACAACAACAAAAATGTATTTAAAAGTTTTGGAAATCTTTCATGAGAAAAACCTCAAAAATGTTTCGGATAATGAAAAAGTAGTCAAAACTTTTAAAGTCAGCCGTCTATATCTTTTTAGAGAAAGAATATTTTCATGCATTCAGTAGAATAAAATTAATGGGATTGGAGATTTTTTGTAAGTTTCCTTTACCTCTTAGTTTAAAGATTCCAAAAATCTAGCAATAATTCTATTAATTTAAAAGAATATGCTTTAAAAATGATCCAAGTGGATATTTGATATCAAAGAATATGACCATCATGAGCAGTGAAATAAATGTGTTGAGCCTCTTCTTTGTTGATGAACTTGATGTTCATTTTAACTTTAGTTTCTTTTATGGAATGTGCTGGCAGACTCAGAAGTGCCTGTTCTGTCCTAGATGAAGACCATTTTATGTTTTGGGTTCGACGGCCCTCGGCCTATGCCTGTTCTGACCACATGAGCCATGTACTTTACCCCACTTTGCTGACAGTGCCAAAAAAATGTGCCAACTGTCATGATGGGCTTTGTCTAAGTGGACTGGATCGAGATCAGTAATTTCTTTCACAGGAGCTATTGCAGAGCCCAATTAAGTGGATATTCAAACATCTGCCCTGTGTGTCTAACGCAGAAGATGTTGAAATAATGCTTTGACCACCCATGTGCACTGAAGGGAGTGTTTTAGGGAAAATTCTCCCTCAGTAGCTGGTTTCAAATTACTCTAGCTCTCAAAGGCTGTTTTCATAAGGAAGGATAATGACATGCTTGGGCCGAGTGTACCCCGGAATGACATCTCTGGCCCATTACCATTTATGCACAGCAGAAAGCCAGTGACAGAGGCCGAAGTGGGAGAAAGAGGAGTTGAACCTGCTACTTACAGCCTCTGATGTACTTTTGGTGTGTGTGTATATATAGACTGAGAACAAATTCCATGAACAATATTTCCTTGTTAGTAGAATTTTAAGCACAGACCTCAGATTACACCAAGAGGGTCCTTAGGGCTGAACCTGACTTAATGGTAAAATGCAGTTTAGGAATTGTTCTTGGTGTTGATAAATGCCATCAATTTGGTTCTGACTCATAGTATCTCTGTATAGAGGTTCCAAGGAGCAGATAGATGGTGCGTTTGAACCACTGACCTTGTGGTTCAAACCAGCCTTGTGGTCCTGTGCTTTATCCTGAAGCATGACACCAGGACTCACTTAAGGAATATAGATAGAACCAATTTCATTGAGATGAGAATTTTCCTTTTTGAAAATAGCCTCTCTGGTCCTAAGTC